TAGACGTTTCAGTTCTCGCCACGTATCGGTGGTAGCAGAGGCGGGCAGTACCGTAGAGTTGAATAGGTCAGCTCGTATCTTCTTGTCCGAGATGAGCTGAGCCGCCTCTTTGATGCTTCCCATTGCCGTCCATGCGCATTTCTTGCGCCTCATGATCTCTGCGCGCAAGTTGTTGTCCACGGAGGGGTGATGAGTTGCGCGAGAGTTAGAGCGTAGGCGTGGCGTGGTTGTCGGGAGTGTGGGTGGCGGCGGCGGGGTTATGATAGGTGGCGCGGCAGTCCGCGGCGGGTGTTGGCGCGGTTCGCCGATGGGGACCATGGTCTTGCTTGCGTTGTGAGGTCTGGGGGTGTGTGAGAGGTTGTCTTTAGAGCTATTTCTCGTTGTAATGAATAGATAGTAAGTGCAGTGACATGGCGATGTTGGCACTGCGCGTTTTTCACTTGCAGAATGCGGCTATCGTACAAAGTGTCGATTTAGAAGGGGGGGATGGGGAGATAGCTTGACGGGGGGAGTGGAATGCATGTGAAGTTCTGTGGGCAGAATAACAATTGACTGGTTCAATGGGAAGCAGGTTCTTAACCATAATCCAGTGAATGATGACTTTGTAGCTATTGGATGCGGTAAACCATTCCATTGTCATAGAAGTCGCGCCAAGCAACGATTTCATTCCCCAAAGCGATAGCAGGTGCGTCTTTTTGCATGCACTTGATATGCCGTATGCTTACCACGTTAAATAATATTTTGTCTATCTTCAGATTGCGTCTTGAAGCAATGAATTCATCAGTAGAGATCAGAGAATTCTGAGTGGGTTAAATCCCTGCGCTCCCCGAAGAAGTGTTGCCAAATTTTCCTTACTGAAATTTCGAGACAATTGGGTAGACGATCTATGTAGCTCGGATTGTGCGAGAGATTTTGTCAAGGGGGGAATTTTTCAGAAGTGTCTTTAATAATGGGTTATTGGAGCAGGATGGTATGGAATAAGGGTGGAATCATTCGTAAGTAGCCTAGTGGCTTTCTGTTTATATTTTGGTAGACAGGGGCGTCGGTTGTTAGAAGTTTTTGGTGGAAGCTATTCTTGTGTTCTGTGTTGAGTTATTATTATGAGCGATGTTCGCTGAGAATCGCTGAAATAGCTCGACCAGGGTCAAGCGTGCGATTTGAGGAATCCTTCGCACGGTGACGCAAGGGGGGGGTAGGTATTTTGGCGCTGGGGAGATCGAGCCATTTTGATGCAGTGGGATCATCACCGTCGGAAGACAAATATCAAGGATGAGTCGATGCCAGGCCAGAGGATTTCCAATGAAAATGATATTTCACCCACACAAAATTTTCGTGATTCTGAGGCGTCCGGTAATTCTTAGTTACTTCAGTGTTTTATCCACAAGTTAAAGAATCTGGATTTCGCACGCTTTCCAAGAGATATTTCATCTTTCAAGTAAGACCCCGAATCGGAAGGGATGTGAGGTACACGGCGCATCCGAGAAAGGGTCTAGTTGTTGCGCGCGCTCCAACTACGGCTCCTTGGACAAACAACCTCAATTCAGGAACAATCGAGAGAATTCTGAAAGTGTCGGCGCATTTACAGGAGGTTTATAAAATTTGAACAAATATTCAAATGATTATAACTTTCTTCAAAGTTAACGAATTTTCAATCTGAAAGCAGATTTGGGAGTTTTGTGAAGAGCTCTTTCTAATCAGTATTGAAATTACAAAAGTTATAAGAAATAACAAATTTAGATCAATAACGAGGAAAATTCATGATGAGCACGAGTTTTTACACTTTCCGAAGCAATAACTTGCTTCATTTTCGTCAAATTCGAAAAGTTAATATGGCATACAAAACTAGAAGATTTTCTCTATCAAACTTGCTAAAGCAGCTTATACGTCCAGTATTTAAAAAATGGCCACGTTGAGGATTTTTGCAAAATTAACGAGGAAAATTCGTGATGAGTGCGAGTTTTTACGCTTTCCAAAGCCATAACTCCGTTCAAACTCATCCAATCTGAAAAGTTAATACGTCATCATAAACTAGAAGATTTGCTCTATCAAATGCTTACTAGAACTGCTCCAAACGTCCAGTATTAAAAAAACGGCTACGTTGAGGATTTTTGCACGAGTACCGCCGAAAGGTACTTTTTCGCTACATTGGCACTATTTCAACGGCTGTATATCCTTTTAAGGGCGATTATGTACTAAAGTAAGAGCAGATTTGGAATCACTGCTTTTCTCTTTCTAAGAAAAGTGATTGATTAGCGTTTCTCAACTTTAAAGGTTACATGTTTATAAATTTAACCCTGAAGAGTCCGTTAACGCAATGTTGAATGGTGTACACCTCCCTGTAAATGCGCACGGACACTTTCAGAATTCTCTCGATTGTTCCTGAATTGAGGTTGTTTGTCCAAGGAGCCGTAGTTGAAGCGCGCGCAACAACTGGACCCACTCTGGGATGCGCCGTGTACTTCACATCCCTTCAGATTCGAGGACTCACTTAAATAACAATATCCGGTGCTATACAAGTGGGGTGGGCACACCCAGCTTTTCACGCATGTCAAGTGACTGCCCTCACCCCCCACCCCCTAGATTGGCTACACTCCCCCTGGCTCACGAACTCCCCAATTCTCGTGACAGTATAGTAGCGAGCAGCAGTCCCAGGACTACATTTCTGTTCAAAAAATGCGGCGTGCCCACTCCTATGTATAGCATGAATATCTCTTGGAAAGCGTGCGAAATTCAGATTCTTTAACTTGTGTGGTGATAAAACACTGAAGTAACTAAGAATTACCGGACGCCTCAGAATCACGAAAATTTTGTGTGGGTGAAATATCATTTTCATTGGAAATCCTCTGGCCTGGCATCGACTCATCCTTGATGTTTGTCCTCCGACGGTGATGATCCCACTGCATCAAACCGGCCCGATCTCTTCCACAACCAGCGGGCAGATACGACCCCCCCCCCCTGCGACGTGTTGAGGATTCCTCAACGCACGCTTGACCTGTTCCCTGTTCTTTCGTTGATTACGAGGCATGCCTATCCTCAAGCTCGTCGGTAAATCTGGGCTATACGGTAGACAGCCGGTTTTAGTGTGGTTGCGTCGCAAATTCTCGATACGACGCCGACGTTTTTTGCATGAACTCTTCTGCAATTGTTTCATCTTTAAACCTTCTTATGTTCCCTTACTTTAATGAGTTTTGTATCGAACTTTGTATCGCCTAATTATGTATCGTGTTCTTTTCTACTGTATTCGTTCAGTTATATCCCGCTGCATGGAAGTTGTCCGTGCATTTTCTTCTATTTTTTTGGCGAAAGTGTTTATTTCAGGAATGAATGTGGTCATTCCGCGTTCCAGTTCCTTCATTTCTCCGTTCTGCCTTAGTCGCAGTCCACATTCCTTTATCGCATCCACAAGTAGTTGCCATAAAGTAATTCCGTTTTCTAATTTATCTCCTGTTCTTGTTTTCTGCTTTTTCTTACGGTCTAGCGTTAGTTGGTTTATTTGATGATTTATGCGTGCTTTAGGTGATTAAAAAGGTACCATTCGTGAGCAAACGAAGCGGTGCTGCTTGTGCAATCTGTTTCGTCCAAGTCGCTTCCACTGCCTCGGATGTCATCAGCTAAAGTCGGTTGGTGAGCTTTGCGATTGTTCTTTGAAGCTGTTCAAACTTTATGGCTGCTTCATTCCTGCGTGTTAGTGTCGTCTGAGGAAACTGTGAAGCCGATGTCAGACTTCTCGAATCCAGCGGTTCGCTAGACATGCGCGAAGTCTTTAGATGTCCTGCTCAGGACAGGCAGGTGGCTAGAGCACGGATTTAGAACGGCTCCCGACTTGGCTCCCAATCCAGGAAGGTGAGAGCAGTGAGACTAAGCTTTGGAGGGGGTAGAGACTCCGGTGCGGGTGGGCCAATTACTGTGTGGCAAAAGTTTGAATGTGTAAGCTCACAGTAGTCGAGATCTACTATTTAGGCGAGAGAGCGCAAACAAGGGCATCAAGATGAGACGACTTACCTAGATGAGACGATTACTTAGACTTAAGGGACGGAGTTCAAGTAGCCCGTGGATCAAGCGCATGTTGATGATCTCATTCTCGTTCTCCTTATCGTTGTCCACTGGAGCAGGGTTCGTTGTTCGGATCGAGGACTACCTCTTTGTTCGATCCAGGGCATCCTTCGCGGCGCAACTGTGCAGTTTGCATGTCCTCGTTGATCGTGTCTTGCCACCGCTGCCTTGGTCCCGTACGCGTAGTTAGCCGTTGAAGCCATATGCAGTGGCAGTGACCCATCTGTGGTAAATCACTTCGGTGCAGACCTGGTCTAAATGTGAGCCTACCGAAGCATCTGCATCTTTATAGCGTGAAGTTGACGCTCATCGCTTTTTGTAGTCGGCTTCTTTGAGATCCGTATAATGCGACAGAGTGGACCATGGTTTGATATAAGTTTGATTCAAGGCGAACTGGCATGCTTCTATCGCAAAGCCCTGCCGGTAGCTCTCTCCATCGCATCCATGCCGCGCTATTCCCATTCTTATCTCGTCATTAAGACCTCCGTTGATTTGTAAGCGAGACCAATGATATCTGGAAAAGGTGACTTATGGTTGGTCCTCATTATTGGCTTGTAGAGTAGTACCTCATATTGATAGATCTGAGGTATTCAGTCTTTTTGATGGAGATGGAGACTGTACTGGCTAAGACAGTCGCACCAGGTCTGAACCTGATTCTGTAGCTCGTTAGCGTGAAAGTCAAGGGAGCGTTTATACCAGTTTTTAGCGTTACCAACTTGTCTAACAAGATAAAGGATCCCAGATCGAAGTGGCTATTTGTAACGAGACATACACCACTAGATGTGTTTTTGGACGCTGATCTGAATCTGCTCTCTGAAATCTGCGGAACGATTCTTTAAAGTGGTTATGAAGCGCAAAATTGCAGCAGTAGTGGTCTTGACAAGTTGTTTGTAAAGTTTTTACCCTGGTGTTCTTTAGATTTCTTCCCTTTAAAAAAACTTTCAGATATACCAAAAGTGACGCAGAATTTCGACTATCTCTTAGTGCTAGATTTTGAAGCCACTTGTTGTGACGATGGAAAAATACTTCCTTATCAGGTACTTCAGTGGAATTAATTCTTGCTAGGCTTTTTCATCCCGTAAATCTTTAGGAAATCATAGAGTTCCCGGTTGCGAAGCTTGATGTTCGCTCGTGGACGGTCAATTCGTATTTCCATCAATATGTGAAACCAACTGTCAACCCCGTCATCACATCGTTTTGTACACATCTTACTGGTATCATCCAGGTGAGTTCCTCCACTAGTACTATTTGCAATATTTCCAAGGTGAGTTCCTTCCTACTTAATTTTTTTGCATAGTCTGGCTTTTTTGTGTGGAGTGGAGGCAGTTTCATGGAAGGTTGAGTGACAATATCCATATCGTATTGCGGGACCACATGCTGTTTTTTTCCTAGCAGGTCAGTCCTAACTAGGGGTTTCTTCGGAAATTTTTTTACGGACCCCTCCCCAATCATAAATTTCGCGACCCCCTTCACCACCCTTGCCATTATGGTCACAATGTAAGAGCCTAATCGCAAATGTTTAGTTCATAATGTGTACAATGTATTGTACAATATCCGAGTGTGCTAATGGTAAGGGAATCAACTCATAAAACAAAAAAATCTAGAGGATTTTTATCCTCTTTTCTATGGGAAGAATAGCGTACAGCCTTCGATGGTCGTCTTATTAGTGGCTCTTGTAATATGTCTCAATTTGAGGTAAAGATATACTTTTACATCATCTTCCCTTCTGTACAGTAGGTACTGTCTTCCCTTTTGAGATGTAAGTAGACTTAGTCGATATGTATCAGATTTCTTTGATAACTCTTGAGTATGAAAGCAGGCGGTTTTTTACGAAAGAAACTCGTCGATGTGGATCGGTATTGGAGTTAAGGATTCCCAGTAGGATCTCCCATTCTTACTAATATAGGAATAAATGGCACTGTATTGCAATGTATTGCGTCAGTAGCGTTTAATGAAAATTCATGGTAGTACCGTTAAAATCTGACACAACGTTTTCTGTTGGACGCGTCATTATAGTTAAAGGATCTGGGTTAATTGTGTTTATAATTATCTTTTGTAGATTGAGATGCCTAGAAAGCCAGAAAACTTCCCCTGTTTATTAGCTTTGTATAAAAACAGATCCTTGTAGGATGTTTTTGTATTGGTTCCGGTGAAGATGTGGAAATTTGTTTATGTTTTTGAAGGCCCTCTGATTTGAAGCATTAAAGGAAATGGTCGACGAACAACCAACTATTGACAGGGTTCTGAGCGATTTCGACGACTGGTTGAAGAAGGTTTCTTTTAGTGAATATTTTCTTCAGAATTCCTTATAGCTGAGTTTTTCAATTCAACACTTTAATTAAGTTTAATTCGGTATTTTAGGAAGGTGTGCTTGATTCACGGTTTGCTTTTGTGACATGTGGCGACTGGGATTTAGGTGTAATGTTGCCTTCGGAGTCAGCGAATAAGCATTTATCGCTCCCAAGGTAAGGCTAATTTGAAGCGCCTTATGATAAAGCGGTTCAGGCTAATGTTCTAGCTTCGCGTTCGAAGGGGGTGAGACAATGGAACTGCGTTCTGGGTTTTATGATGCCCACCACTTACTGTTTCTTTGATGACAAGCTAAAATTATATTTTAGTTACTTCGACAAATGGATTAATGTGAAGAAGTCTTATTGTGAACATAGTGGAACGTTTGCCAAAGGTCTAAAAGACCTCCTGCGAATATACAATTTGCAACACGCCGTGAGTATTAAGAGTTCACTGTTCACATCCTCCTCGTTTTTCTGTTTCATTCATTCATGTTCTTTAGGGGCGACTTCATAGCGGTATAGACGACGTGAAAACTATATGCTCTTTAACGTCAGCTATTGCTCAGGAAGGATATGTTTTCAGGTTCGTTTCTAGAAGATATTTGTCCTACCTTTTTTACTATAACTTTAACTAAATTGCTTTGAAATAACTGACATAGTAGCACTTCCATCAGTGTGTTTTTGATATTTGCCAACGATTCGCTTTTATACGATTTGATAAGAAAGCCATACTCTTGAAGTATCAAGTTCGGAGCCAAAACTAAATTGGTCGCGGTGAAGCGTAGCTAAACCAAAGCAAGGGCTGAACAAGCAGCTTCAAGTGGACTTGTTGGAGGGAGTGTATGGTGTTCTGTAATGTTCATCTTCACCGCTACACTTGCAGCTCCTCACCGTAACGATACTATCGTCGTCTCTCATGCCATTTTTGAAGGGACTCGCGTTTCCTATTTTTCGCCTTCCCTCATTACTATAACTCTTGATGCTCATCTCTACTAAGTGTACATTCTTTTTAACCAGTATGTTAAAACAGTCTTAGCAGAATCAAGACTGTTTGTTCTGTTAGGATGTTTTTAATGACAAGGGAACATGCCGTGAAGATCTTTCATGCATCCAGGAAGAAGGATCGATCTAGCTAAAATGCTTTGAAGTAATTCTACATCCAGAAAAGTATGGGCATGCTCAAAAATGCTATTTTTCCTAAAGTAAGCGCAATATGAAAAAAGTTTGGTAGTAGTTTGAAACGAAGGTGTGACCACAACTGTATTCGAAGGAAACGGCCGAAATGTCACAAGAGAACCCTTAGCTGGTGAAGCGTAGCAATGGCGCTGATTTAAAGGAAGCGATTACGATAAAGAGGGAGCGCATCGGGAAGCATATGCACCACACGAATCAGTTACTTGGCTGCCAGGGAAGCGAGGTGTGGCGCTTTCACAACGAAAGGTGCGCTGGTTGCTGAGCAGGACTTCGAAAGCGCTCCGCCCCAAAAGCGATCCGCCCACTAGTTTACTTGTTGATTTGGACGAGCTGCGTATCGAATTCGTATGCGGGTGAACTCGTTCATACTTCCACTTTCTTAGCTATTACGACTCATCAGAGATGGAACCCAACGGTCAAAAGGTTGGTCCCTTTTGCGTTTTCCTTGGCGGAATGGTTCGGGTTTTTCGCCAATTGGCGTATACGTCTGAACACCGCCACGCTACACCAACCCTCCTCGAAATATACCGTAAACCGCTACCTTTAATTCATCAGAGCCTCCTTTGAGTTCCGCGCTGATGGACGACTGAAGGAGTTCTTGTTTTCTAACCTCCCTTCCGAATTGCTTCAATCGAAGGAGTTGTGTATTCCCATGGTTGCAGTAACGCAGCAAATCCTCAAGCTCGAAATCAATCACTTGTTAGGAAGCATTCACTTTTTCTTAAAAATCCATGCCCAAGATTTGTTCCGTCGGCATTCGCTAGATCCGGCTCTGGAATTCCATTACCTTTCGATTTGTATTAGCTCTTGATGCTCACCATACACGGATATGTATAAGTGTTTTCATGACACGTAATCGAATTATTGAAATTACTATCTGAAGGGGAAATTGGGTAATCGTGAAGTGTTCTACGAAGTGCTTTGCAGTGGTTTGCCTGCTGGCATGGTTCAACGGAAATGGTCTCTAACGTTAAGCGTCTAGACATCCTTTCTTAGGCGTAGGTTGTAGGAACTAGGGCAGACGAGGTCACATGCAATAAATTGTCCTAGGATGAGCGAATGATTGGCGTAGATTTAGGATCACACCGAGGCGCATATCAAAAGTACGCCTGGAAATGAGGCGACCTATATCTTAGTACAATTAGGGGTAAAGTCAAAGGAAGTGCTATTCCAGTACTACCGGCATAAGATAAAGAGGACTTTCCCATCCGAAACTGGAGACACCAAAGGTAACACAAGAATGCCCAGTGATAAGCGAAATCCTTCGCCCAACCCGAACTTGAACCTTTTTTTGTGAAATTCCAATTCGTGTCACTCGACAGCGATGGTCCTTCAGTACACAATTTTTTTTTAGGATCAACGGCTCAAGAACTGATGATTTGGAAGGGAAGCGAGTTTTCAAGAACGTATCCGTGTAGTATAAATTTGAAATAAAAACAATTATCAATGTGTTCCGGTGGTTGATGTGATTCCCTTCGTAAGTGTTTCGACCTATTCTAACTTTTCTGGATGTTTATAGACAACAAAATATGTATTCCAATCAGCTATCAATTGGCCGGTGGACGTAGTTTGAGTCACGGAGTTATAAAATTCCAACTACGGCTTTGTAATGATATCTACAAATACAGTGTGATCATCATCTCGAGTCAAGTGCAAGGTTTTCATGTTGTTTTTGAAGGACTACAAGTTCAGGTCAAGGCAGCCTGTTGAATTTATGAGTACCCTTGGCCCAACTGCTCGAAGTTTCGACTAAGTTTTATTAGAGTGAGAACTGCCAGGTTAACAATTTGGAGGATAATTATTTCATGGCTAGCAGGTGATCGGTAGCTGATCATCCAAAAGTATAAGAAAAGTTGAAACTAGACCATAGATAGAATTAGATCTGAACGAACTGTACGGTCGGTTCTACACCCAGGCCATGGAATAGAAATCTCGGGGAGAGGGCACTTAGGGTTCTGCCCTAAACCATGCTGGAAGCAGTTGCATGTTCTCCCGTCCGCAGTAGCCTGCTGTCTGGCGCCTCATTTCCATACATTCTCGCCTCATGCTCTCCTCTCCGCGCTCAGTCTCTCATTGTCTTAGCACAGCAACATTACGAAGGTGAGCAAGCCCTTAACCTAGCAGTTTTCGACGGATTCTTTTCCTTTTTTCTTCACTGCTGGCTCCATTTCGCACCAATACTTTCATGCACAAGAAACCATACCAGTTTGATCCTGGGGCATGCTTTTATGGTTGAGGGTGAGGTGGCTCACGTTTCCATGAACACGTAACTGCAAACGGAGGAGGTTCGATGCATGGAGAAGTAACACATCGTCTTAATTCCAAACAAAAAAGGAATGGGATGGAAATTCAACCACTACGAGGTCACGTTCACTTTGCTTATACAAAGCTGAACGGACGTGAGGTTGAATGATTGATCCTCATCCAATTCTGGTACTTAGCTTCTCTGCATCCTTGAAAGCTGGCCCCTTGCAGAGGGCATGCACGAAGGGGGGCCAAAAAAATTTTAGTCGTGGTGCACATCGCCAAACTTTGCCGCCGCATGTCTCACAGCAAAACATTCCCGAAATGTCCCACCATCGGCAGACGCAAGCGTATGTCAACTGCATTCACAGTTCAGAATATGAAGTCGTCCGCCATCTCCGTCTGCTCACACTCAAACCTTGTACCATGTTCCCGTGGCAAATTTTGCCATGTTGTCCATGTGGAAGGTTGTTATGAATTGTGATATACTCGAATACGCTTCAATTTTCAGCTGCAAACACCAAGTTTGAGTTTAGCAGAATATGATTAATCAAGAATGGAATGTGGAGGGAAGAAGTCTATTTTCGCCTCTTCTGGTGTTGGCGAGTTCGTTCTCCGCAAATAAGAAAGATGCCTGGCAAATAAGAAAGAGAGTGGGTTATAGAGCACTAATGACCATCTCTTAGTGTGGTTCAATTCATGCTTACTTTCTGGTGTTGCTCTAGGACTCCTAAAAGCATGGCGTACCACAGAGTAATAAGGTCCACGATGTTTCCAGCAGCTAATGTTGACTTGTGAACAAGAACCCTGCAAAGGAGGCCTCACTTCGTCGAAATGAAGATGCTGAGAGCTGGGCGCGAATGAGTGAGAAACAATGAACGCTGGGTCCATGTAGGCTGCTTCTGTCCAACTAAAAGAGTAGGAGCAGCGACTGCGGTAGCATATTTAAGTGCTGAGAGGCCGCAAATCCAAGTGGCAGGTTAGGTACTCCTCGTGATCCCTTGGACCAGTGGTGGCACTCACGAGCAGCTTCAAAGGGGTGGTGGAGGGAGGTCATCGGAGTGATCCCACTGAACCCGAGCCACAGCAGATGATTTCTAAGATGGGGTAATGGCTTCCCTAAATAAGAGCAGTGGTCTCTACAACAGCGCGAGATTACCACTAAGACGAAGAGGGCATCAGTTTGGCAACTCTGTGTAATTTCGTAATTTCAATTGTGTTGAACAATTTAGTTTCTCATTCAATTGTAAGAATTTTGGGCCATCGCTATCAGTTCCTCCTCTTGGCATGTTTCCAAAGATCTCCCTTAAGCTCATTTAAGTTTTATGATTGCTGCGATATACGTCCTCTGGGTTTTGAGGCATTGTTGCGGTTTTAGGTTCTTTAGGTTTCAGGTTCATCACTCCCTCGAATCATTCAGGTCAAGCGTCAGATGCTGCGCGTTGAGGTCGCTCTAGAATTTCTGGTCATCTGCTTGAATAACGCGTTCATCTTTTTGGGCATGTTACCAAAGGTATGAGCGGCCATTGAGTTATTAGGATTATTGCTGCGTTATAAGTCTCTAACGTTTTAGGGATCATTCTCTTCAAATTTATTCAATTTTAGGTACAGTTGCTGCCGGATAGGTTGATTTCCAGGTCATTCTATCAGCTTCCTCCCTTTGGCATGTTTTCAAGAATTTCCCCGGAGGTTCATAGCAGTACCGCATCATGCTCGCGGGTTTAGGTACCCGTAGGTATCTAGGCCATCGTTCCTCTGTTTCATTCAGGTTTCAGCGATCATTGCGCGGTTTAGCTGCTTTGGCGTTCAGATCAATTGCTACCACTTTTCACTCTTTGGCGTGTTGCCAAACTATTTTCCCTTTTTTCCCGAAATGGTGTCCTCATACTAGTTCAACCAATCTGCTGTTACATCCCGTTTAGGTTTTAGGTCATTGTTCCGTCTTGGGCTCTTTACTTTTTAGGTCATCTTCCCTTTGGTCATTCAGGTTTCAGGTCATTGTTGCAGTTTAGCTGTTTTAGGTTCTAGGTCATTGCTATCAGTTCTTCTTCTTGGCATGTTTCCAAAGATTTTCCTGACCAATAAAATGAATATGGATGACGCTTTATTTTTACCATGAAATGCACGCACATTCCGTAAATCGGTGATAAATTTGTCGATGAAGCGGTGCGATATTCATGAATGATTTTCACGATGAAAGATAAAACAAGTGGCAGAAGCAGTACATACAAAGATCTCAGACCACAATACATAATAATCAAGCAAACATTCTAGGATTCACCACCTGACACATTGATTAGTGAATGTGGAGAAGAGATGAGATTGGATTATTAGCTAGACCGTATTTTGTCGGGCAATGTATTTTTGTTTATTTGTAAATAAAATCGTGACTAAATAGCTTAAGTGAAGGGCGCCACAACGAAGCAACCCGATCGCTCGCATTCCATTCACGGAGAAATGGTATACCAAGTGATGAAGACATGACTCAATCGATATGTATTTAATAGCCGGGAGCAGTTCGAGGAGGTGGACAATGATCGCAACCTCCACTTGGTCCACGATCTCCGCTTGGCCCGTCTGGTCCCGGTCCTCCTGGTTGTCCAGGTGCGCCTGGTGCTCCGTTATCACCAGGTGGTCCTGGTGGTCCGTCTGGTCCTGGATTGCCATTTCCTCCAGGTTGTCCATCAGGTCCTGGTGGTCCGGGAGGTCCGGGTGGTCCTGGTGGTCCATTTGGTCCTGGTACCTCATTGAGCTTACCGGGTGCACCAGGAGCGCCAGGGTTTCCGGGAGGTCCGTCATTTCCAGGAGGACCAGGTGGTCCAGGGGGTCCAGGTGGTCCACGATTGCCTCCGTCGGCATCGGTTCCCGGTGAGCCGGGATTTCCTGGCGGTCCTTTGGGTCCTGGTGCTCCGGGTGGACCTGGCGGTCCATCGGGGCAGTCAAAGCAGAACTCGTGCTGCGGTTGTGGTGTGGCGGGTGGTCCATCAGGGCCGTCTCGTCCAGGCTGCCCTGGCTCTCCGTCTGCTCCATTCTCACCATCTGGGCCTGGTGCTCCAGGTGGACCTTGGGGCGATACACCGCATCCACAACATACTCCTTGATGAGCTGATTCGACACCACCTTCCACTCCCGCTGAAGAATACCCGGCTTGACGGCGATCTCTGCGAACTCCTGACACCTTTGTTAGCACCTGAAATAGTGAGGATTTGTGATGGTTGAGGTAGCGTTAATTACTTTGCCAGTGAAGGATAAAGTTCTCTAGTTTTGCACCCATAGATGCCTCTCCTTGAATCATCCCGGATCGTTTCCCAAATAAGAGTGAAAGGATACTTAGTGGTGGTTCCTTGGAACTAAAAGAGCTAAAAGAAAGTAGCTGAATGAGTTGCTGGGCACCATGACTGGTTATTTGAGACCTCTCAGGGTTTGAAGATGACGATTAGGATCATCCATGGTAGTTCTTCTATTGCAAAGGCGGCTTGTTCGGGACCGGATTCCTAAGCGGCTTAAGCGTTATGCGGCGATGATTGCGGGGTGTTCTTCATAAATCTCACCATTTTCGTGTATTTATAGCAGCCTTTGACTATAGAATTCAAGGTGAACGCAGAGTGCTTGAAAGTGTGTTCTGCCTTACCAATTCATACACTTAAGCGCGCCATTAGGCCGATCAGGAGGTGTGCGCACATGATGTGTGTGCCCTACCTTAATCTTATTTGGGTCCAACAGTCATTTTGTATTGCCAGAAAATCTTTAGTGCAGATTAGCAGTTTCCGAATTGCAACGTACACCTTATACGATATCGAATAAAAAGTCGTTCAATGATTGCCGAAAAAGTAGTCAGAGCTAGCGATTGTCAAGAACTGGCCGGCATGAAATACCAGATCTGGAGGATCTGAAATTCTTGACGGCGTGAACGTTTTGATGAGCTATTCATCAGCTGCCTGATGACAGCTTTAGTTGCGGGGGCGCGGGGGCGCCCGGGCGGCGCGTCACAAAAAAACGAAAAAAAAAAAAAAAAAAAAAAAACCCGGGGGGGGGGGCGGGGGCCCCCCCCCCCCCCCCCCCCCCCCCCCCCCCCCCCCCCCCCCCCCCCCCCCCCCCCCCCCCCCCCCCCCCCCCCCCCCCCCCCCCCCCCCCCCCCCCCCCCCCCCCCCCCCCCCCCCCCCCCCCCCCCCCCCCCCCCCCCCCCCCCCCCCCCCCCCCCCCCCCCCCCCCCCCCCCCCCCCCGCGGCGCGGGGGCCCTCTCACCAGGTTCTCTTCACTGCAATTGCGCGTATTTCCGGCGATGTTTGGCGTTACACAGATGGGGACCATTTATTTGGGGATCAGAATTGGCTAAGGGTTGAACAAAACGCCAGCGGCGTTTCCCGGAAAGGCTAAGCTTGATCAGGTCTTCTTCGACGCGGACTGTCATTAATGAATGGTTACTACACAGTGATTCTGTAGTCAATTAATGGAGGAGTGCAATTTCCTATAGTAAGGTCAAGGCAGGGGTAAAGATTAAGTGATAAGTTCGAGACAGAGGGTGGGAAGCCTATCTTGGAGAGAGTATGTTTCATAGTGTAGAAGCCTACCCCTCCGGGGTAAACAGGCATGGTAGGGACATATTCAGAATCTATCGCTCGAGAACTGCTGCCATAAATTACACGAAACGATTATGTTGTTTAGGCTGGCATTTATCAGTCCCTTTCTGGATACGCAATCCATTTCTTTTCAGGGTCGTTGCGACATTTGAATGCGCTTCGGCCTACACAGCGACTTGCTAGCGGAGCTTGCAGATTTATCCTATTAAGGAAAAGAGGATCTGTTGTAGTAATGAAGCAGCGTTAAAAAGCACCGGCGACGAGTCAATGTATGACCACTGTTCTTACCCTACGAGAGGAGTTTGGTATCAGTAAACCGGCCGAGGAGGGATAGTGGACATGGGCCGAGAAGGGATGGTGGGCGAGCTGGACGATACTTCAGCCAAGTCTCTCGGACGTACCCGTAGGAAAAGGTATCAACCCGAAGATACAGCATATACCGCGTTGCTTCCACAATTCATGTGTAATGAGAATTAATTAATCCTTTTCTGAAAGCGCCACGTCCAGTTGAGCGATTTATCTACCTGTAATTCCACGTGCAAGAAATGTTTGTTGCTGAATAAGTTAGTCAGAGCGGAGTATTATGGGTTGTAGTAACGGTAAGGATTTATCCTAATAAGGAAAAGTGATGTAGTAATGAAATAGCTAGCGATAAAACAGTATTTACCGAGTGTGTTGTCGACGCAAACCGTCAAAACTCGTCGGCGGAAAGAGAGCCCGATGGAGTGGCATTTTTGTAAATGGTCGAGATGCTGGGTTTCGTGGGCTTTTTTACGAGGTTACAGAGGGTAGCAACAAGACTTCAATTCTGAGCGCTATATGCTCAACATATTTTGTCGCAAAAACGTCTTTCTATTCACAGACGTATATATACACTAAAGTGCCAAACTTAAGGACGAGATCGATGAAGTAAAATGACTATTGGTTGCTTCTTGATCGTTCAACGCGTTCCTGTCAATTGCTTCCTGCTACTGCCACCTGTAGCAAGCTCTCTTTGTTAGTTAGAGTTCCACAGACATTATGTTACTCGCTCGTATAACATTCCATGCACAAAGCTATGTTCTCTTAAAGGCAAAGTTCGGGCTCAGACCCACTTAATGAGCCTTTACGGTGGCTAGAAGCGCTAGGCACGCAAGTGTATGGGTCGCGTCACTTCCCTACTTCGAAAACCGTTATTTAGACGCTAGGCTCTAAGAACTTTGACACGCTCCACCTCTCGATATCTTGACTGCGTCGGAATGTTGATCTGCTATGCTCTCTCTACTTAGACTTCTCTAGCGCTCTCCGCGCTCACATTATCTCTCATCTCCCTGCCGGCCTTTTGAACTTCTCCGCACCGTAGAGGAAATGGCTCGTATTTCCTAAGCATTTCACGATTTCTTTTTCTCTTTTCTGCACTGGCGGTCCACTACCTACCCCTACTTTCACATTTAAGTGGAATTAACTCATAATTCAATCCTGAATCTTGCCTTTAAGTTACACACAGTGTAGTACCATGGCCTTTTAGCAGACTCATTCTGTTATTGGCTGCCTCTTAGATAGTTCTGACCAGTGGTGAGCACCAGCCCTTTTCGACTTATCCAAAATGTGGTTGCGATCAGTTCACTCATTCAATCTGTGAAAATTCACTGTAGGGGCTTGTAGCCGGAGCGAAAGGAGCGAACATGGAGTCACCCTAGGAATTAGATGAAATCTACCTTACAGCCAAACATATCCCCATGGGGTTACTGAACAAATGATAAAAGGATAAAGCATTTGCCGTTGATCAATCCCTTTTTGGGATGCGGCACGCATTCTACTTCCATTTGTACATTCGTAGTGGCGTTTGAATGCGATGTGGCCTATACAATGACTTGCGGGGGCCAGCCGATGTACAAGTCAGTGTTTTTATCCTCCCAGACAAGTCTGGTACCAATTAACCGACCCCGGAGGGATGGAAGGCTTGGTTGGCCCGGGCGACTCACGACCCAGGATTTGATCCCCGGACCGCTCGCGTGGTAAGCGCGCCACTTGCCACTACACCACTTCCGCCATTATGCGTCTCGTGAAAGTAGTAATGTTTGCAAAGGCCCAAGTTATTTTGGGCGGAAGTGGTGTAGTGGCAAGTGGCACGCTTACCACGCGAGCGGTCCGGGGATCAAATCCTGGGTCGTGAGTCGCCCGGGCCAACCAAGCCTTCCATCCCTCCGGGGTCGGTTAATTGGTACCAGACTTGTCTGGGAGGATAAAAAACACTGACTTGTACATCGGCTGGCCCCCGCAAGTCATTGTATAGGCCACATCGCATTCAAACGCCACTAAATGGAAGTAGAATGCGTGCCGCATCCCAAAAAGGGATTGATCAACGGCAAATGCTTTATCCTTTATTATTTTGCTTGGGAGTTCTGTGACGTATTGAAAGTCGTAAACACGTTCTCAACCCTTAGCTTGTCACATTTTACGCGGAGAATGGAATGCACTTAACTAAATGTGCTTCGGTGTCGAGTTGTTATGTGGCAACCCGACCATTTAGAAGATTTGTGAGGCAAGTGAGTTGTCAGGTTTGTCAGTAACCATAAAGTGAGTATTATCTAGTCATGGCAAATCACCTTGGTGCAATTTGTCCCATAGTAAGTGAACCGGTTAGAAGCGCGACCTGATGAACAAATTTCTACACCAGAGTCAGAACAGGGAATGGCAACGAAGGCATTTACTGCTATGCTGCAAGTGCTCATAACCAGTGAATGGGCTGGGTAATGGAGTGCCAAAAAAGAGAGAAAGATAACGCGACCTATCATTGCAAGAAGATAGGTTTGTAAGATCATTTCGATGAACAGATAAAGCGCTAAGCTGCACCTTACGTAGGAATGGTCGTCGTTCATGTATAAGCTTGCATCTCACCGTAAGCATACTAACCTTACCGTATGCTCGCCTGAGCAGAGCTGCAGATGCCAACGACCTTCGCCAAGTTCGGGCGACTCCCTTGATGAGTCATTCATATTAGGAAATCGATTTGAACTTATTGCGTGTCGAGTGTGTCATAACTGCCTTAGACTCTTCTCTCAAGATCGTGTCGTTTTAGAAAGATCGCGCCCTTCTTCTCGAGTACTTGCAGATAAATTCAACGAGCTAGAGACCAGTTCAGAACAAACTTGCTGTGTTTTTGATAGGAGCAAAGAGTTACGCTAGAGACCGTTTTAACCTCAATAGCGCCGAGCTGGATGACAAGCGAGGTCAAGCACCTGAAGTGAAGAAGCTCCATCAATTCCTGGTACAACCAGCTGCTTCGGAAAGGTCAAGCTTGTGATGTGAAAGGTAAACCGTAAACGTAAAGTGGTTGTCCTTGAGCCTCAAAGTATGATGTACAGACGGCTGTTGGGGTGGGTGGGTAGACAGATAGCAAGGATGGGACTCGTGACCGCCTCATTGATTTGCTCTGGTTCCGAATTCCGAAACTTGCCATTTGCTGCTCAAGTTCTACCTTGTAAGCACCTTGACAATGGATTAAGACTGATCGGGAAGTTAGACAAATACTCTAT